CACGGCTCCAATATCCAATCTGTTTGAAGAGTACATGTTGCTCTTTGATGAACCAGAGAATGCATTTCTCTCTGAAGCAAAAGCGGCTGATAACAAGGTTGACAACCTGAATGAGATAATCAACGAAGTTGAAAAAGCCATGGAAGGCAAACCTCAAGATCCTAACGAACCTCAAGATCCTAGCGAACCTCAAGACCCAAGCAAACCCAAAGGTCCAGGCGAACCCACAAATGACCGCACCACTTTCCAGGGGGAGGGTTCTTCTACATCAAAGCGACCTGATTTGCCTTTCCAGGGGGAGAACCCATCTCCAACAATGAACCATGAACCTCCAATCGAGGGGGAGAGTTCTGAACCTGATGTTGAAATAGTTTCATCATTCGAGGGGGAGAATGGTAATACGAATGATGACGACAATCAGTCAGAATTTGAAGAAGAAGTCATGCCTTCCTCCACAATGGAATGGTCTTTTCACTATTCTTTTCAAGGGCTTATCGGAGAGGGTTGCAGCGTCTGACGGGGCAAGCAAAGCATTTATGACTCTCCTCTATGGTCTTTACAATGGGATCAATATGGACTATGGGTCTATTCTCTGGACTCAACTGGTACAAAGCCTAAGCTCAGCTTCTCGTTATTCCAAAATCTCAAGTGGCAGGTTTTGGACCTTAGTTACTCAATAGGCAATGGAGAAATGCCACATTCCAGTAATGGTAGACTCTTTGATGTCGTCAATCGCCACTTTTCAGATGACAAAGATTATTGTCGCCGATCCAACCAAATTTCTGTTCATTGGTTCCATTCCTGAGACTATGTACAACTGTGTTTCTGGGGAAAGCAAGCTCATTAGTGAATACAAGAAGCTTCCTCCTACGGGACCGATGCAACTAACCCCTGAAATGCAAATATCGTTGGATGCCGCTAATAAACCAGCGACAAGAGGGAAGAAGGTTGATCAACAAAAAAGCGAGAAGGAAGGACCTTCATCTAAAGCTGTTACGCCTAAAAAGCGAAAGTCAGAACAAGCGGCTACTTCCTCTCCTAAGAAACGAAAGATCAAGAAGAAGGTGCCAAGCCAAAGGATCAATCTTCAGGTGATTCAGACTATGTTCCCTCTAACCAACAGCCCGAACAAGAGTCAAGCGATAGTGAACAGTCTCAAGATGAGAGTTTGCTCCAAGGAAATTCGCCTCCAACTTCACCGGCTCATCATGGTAACCGAAACTCACATGCTTTCTCTCCTACTCGCTTCGTTCCTATTACAATTGCTCCATGTCCTCCTCCAATCTCTTCTCAAACTGCAACTTCTATACCAATACCAACCCCCCTATTCACAGAAATTACCACCACCACCACTACTACAACCGAACCTCAAGTTCGTGTCAACGTATCTGATACGGGGGCACCTACTTCAGGGACCGAAACCCCGATTACCTCTAAACCTCTATCTCCACCTATCTCAAATGAATCTGACACCGTTCTCGGTGGGGAGGATGTTGACTTTGATTCCTACCATTATAGCCCCTACAGAGTTCAGAGCGATGATGATGATGATGATGCTCCTGTAACGAAACGAAATTTAAAGGAGCTTAACGAGAAACTTGACAAGCTGATTTCCTCTTCATCTTCCACTCCAAGCGAGACTTACTCAGAGGCTGATATCAAAGCTATGTTGGCACCTTTTTTCAAGGAGCATGACTCCTCTATTTCCAAAGCTACCAAAGCCATTGAAGCTTCCACCTCCTCTTGCCAGAAAGCAACCATCGTTGTTGAAGAGTCCACAAAGGAATGTAAGAAAGCGACCGAAAACATCGAAAAACTAATTTCTGATGCTAATCTCTTTCTAGATTCTCTTCAGGTGGCTGCTCAAAAGAACGCCGAAACTGTTAATGCCACTATTGAGAATCTCAGCAAATCGCTTCAAGCTGAGTGGAAGCATTTTGAAAGCATTAGAACGGGTATTAAAACTGATAATGCAGAGTTCGTATCTTCAGTCAAGTCTCGTCTTGATGAACTCCAGACTGAGTTGGCTGTGGAAAACAAAATCATGGATGAACTGGCTCTTCGCACTACTCAGCTCAAAACTCAAACCTTGAAGCTCAATCAGGCGACCAAGGAAATTGACGATCTCAAGTCTGAGAGAGCAGTTATCAAAAGCTGTGTTGGTGATGTGAACTCGCTTTTGTCCAATCTCCTAGAGGCACATGATTCGGTTCTTACTCTCACCGTCCGACGGCACTTGGCTGAGAAGCTGAGACCTGCTCTTGACATGTTGAGCCGTATAGAAGGTGTTCCAGAGACTGGTGTCCCTCCGAAACAAGGGGGAGAAGCACGTCAGGGTCAACCCCCACAACCTCCAATAAGCAAACCTATTCAAATCTCTTCACAACCAAAAGTCACCACTGAGCCAAAGGTTAATGAAGCTTCGGGTTCTAGTGTGAAGAATAAAAGCAAAAAGATAATCGATGATAGTGATGAGGAAGAAACCGAAGAAGATGCTCTCAAAAGAAAGCAACGTGACCGAGAGCTTAATGAAAATCTTCGCATCGCAAGAGAAGAAGAAAAGAGGGAAAGAAAACAAAAAGAAGCTCACGACACATTGGAAAGTAGAAAAACTCTATTTCCTTTATGGTTATTGGAGAAGCTCTTAAAAGAAGTAATCGAGTCTCCTAGCACTCATTGGCTTGAACCGGTCATCTCGTTTGATCGTGAGAATTCGAGAGACTCTCAGTTAGACATGCCTATCACCCGAAATGCATTTGTGTTTCATTGATTTGAGCCAATCGCCACTGTTCCTTCTCCTGACCCGAAGGTTAACCGAGAATTAATTGACTACTATCTTGCATTCTCTCAACCACAATACTTGACCTGGAGCGCACAAAAGATCACAACGGTCAAGGTATTGAAACCAACTTCAGTGGGGAATTTTATAAATGTGAAGTTCAAAGTGACCCGAGGCTCTGACAACTCGGTTCATATGATCTCTCTTGCTGATCTGCCGAACTTAAACCCACACGACTGGATCCTTCTGAACAACATTTTGCTAACTGATCAACAGCAGTACGAGCCTATCATCGATCACATCAAGCGAATGTTAGTTTCTTACATTCATGAGGTTGCCAAGATGGATCAAGAGATCGCCTCTGCCTTAAGGAAGAAATCTACAATCAAACCAATTGGGAAGGCAAGCGACATTAACAAGATGCAGATGGGTAGGATTGACATGAAGTATCACACAGTCATGTTCACAAGAGCCGAAGGCCAAAAGTGCTTGTTCGCTCTTGATGATAAACACATGTTCTCCACTTCTTGTCTGAAGCACACTCTTGACATCATTCACAGGTGTAAGCAAAACATTGATGCTGATAAGAAATTTTTTTTGGATATGCTTTGGTTGTATATTGACTTCCATCAAACTCTTCTCGCCATCATACCGAAGCTATTCAAGACTGTGAAGAAATCCACTCTCACTCAACCGAAATGATCTCCCGCCTCAATTGACGCAAAGGGTGAGATTGTTGAGTCTAGGAGTTACGTCATTGGGCCTGTTACCTCGGTTCATTGTTATCATGGTTTGGGCCTGTCCAGCCGTGTTTATATCATTAGGGTTTAATATATAAGATGCATGCATGCATCGTTCTCTGTACGCTTCTTAATTATTATTCCTTTCATTGTATTGTAACCCTAGCACACCTCTACAGTCGAAGTTGTTTATTGAGCTGTTATGAGGTGGAGCATATTAATCATTCAGCTCTTATTTGATTCGTCTGGTGTTCTTTGCTTTTATTGTGTTTGTCTAAATCTGTTACGAATCTAAACGATCTTAGAGAATTTATTTCTCATCATAAGCATGTAAATAGATATGCATTTTAGCAACAAACTTTCTAGCGTGCATTTCCTAGTTCCATACAAACATGTTATGATAGAAACATAGCATGCATAACATCATATTTTAACATAAAAAATAACCCTCACCACTAGCATGAACCTACCACTCTTTTCCTGTACAAATTACCCATTCTAAGGAATCTAGAATACAAAAGCTTCCCTAAGTTATTTGTTACTTAATTACCTCACAAAACCAGGTTTCAAAGATCTCATAAACTTAGACTGTCATATTACACACAATTAACTAGACCATACTAAGCATGCGAAATTCCCATCACTACTAGAAAAACAGCCTTTTACGACGCGCAATGCGCGTCGTAAGACGCTCAGACGACGCGCAAATGCGCGTCGTAAGACGCTCAGACGACGCGCAAATGCGCTTCAAGGAAGGCCCTGTCATAACGAGAGACGACGCGCTTTGGCACGTCGTCTATTTACGACGCGTTCTTACGACACACCATTCGTGTCAAGGAAGGCCCTGTCATAAAGAAGACGACACGCTTTTGCGTGTCGTAACCTTACGACGCACATTTACGACGCGCATTGCGTATCATTAAAGCCCCTGTCATAAAGAAAGACGACACACATTTTTGCGTGTCATAAAGTTAAATGTTTTAAAAATTATATATTTTGATAGATTTACTAATTTTTAAATTAAATAACACATTAAAAATCTCATAATACAAAATAAAATACCATAAATAACAAAGATAATTCATTTCACTAATATGTCAAATACAAATAATTATTCCAATAGTGAGTAAATGTTACAAAAAAATGAACTCAAGAAAAGCAGAATTCATATACAATTGCATTATCTAGCTTACTATGTGCCAACAACTCTGTGTGTTTGCTTTTGCTTGAGTCTCGTTTCCTCCAAAGCTTCTAGCCATGCCAAAGTATGATATCTTAGGGTTCATGTTTAAATCAAGTAAAACATTGCTAGCTTAAATTCATCAAGTCATTGGCGTGAAGTCTTAGATAGAAGCTTAACTGCAATCTCCAATCCTTCTAGCAGACCCTAAAGATCATTATTGGGCATGTAGCAGGATCAACCTGCCAAAATTAGATGAGTTAAGAATATGCAACAAGATTGGTGAAAAGACATAAATGCCCTACCTTGTATTCAACAGTAGCAATGTTTTGGCAGGATATGGAATTGAAGAAGAATTGGAATCTGTCACGCGTTTTGACAGCAATAAGTAGCTGACTGGGCCAACAAAGACTGGGACAGTTTCAACTCCAAGCTGCATTACAAACAACCAACCAACATACTAACAAAAAAAGATTACTAAATCCTGTTTAAAAGAATCCGGAAAGAGCATATCATGGAAAGCAACACTTTAAGGCACGACTTTTATCATGGAAATCAACACTTTAAGGCACGAATCATCATCATGACTGTACTCCATGAGGGATTCCAAAAATACCCCTAGAAACTTGTCGATGTTGAACTCCTTGGTCAATCCAGAAAGAACCCCCGAAAGATCCCTTTATCACAAAATCAAAACCATGTTGTCTCTAACTTTTCCCACTCTTTTGTAACAATGTAAGCATCAAGTGTAAAAGTTAATACAAAAGCTGTAAATCATGAAATGCTCATAAAAAATCTAAATCTCTTCAAAGATACCTCATATGTAGCAACTCCAACCCCAAATGTCTCTAACTTTTCCCACTCTTTTGTAACAACTGGAAAACATGATTCATATATTGCAGAAAATTGACCAAGATCTGAACCAATATCATAGAAAATGAAGTAATCAGAATGTGCACATGTACACATGACAGTTTAGCAAGGATAAAACCGGAATAGACAAACTTACCTTTCTGTAATGAATCTAAGCTTCCACTCTCCCCTAAAGTACTTAAAAGATGTACAATGATTGAAAGCCTTCTATGTTCAGTAACATCAGGTAATATATACAAAAAAACTTGTAACACTTCTTCTGGATTTTCAGTCCTTGATAGCCAACATGGGACAATAATGGAAATCAGGTCTTCAAATACTTTCTTGGAGTGACTATCCCACTGCAGAAAACAACTTGTATTAAAAAAACGACACATTTACAGATTATGAATACAATTTATCATAAAGATTTATATATTATTACCTGTTGTTACTTTCTTTTTCTTTTTCCCATGTAGGGTACTAGTTGATGGACTTGATTTTTCCAAAACATAATCAAGCATGTGTTGCACCATTGATCTGGAAATCTTTATCTGTAACAAAGCGATTCTAGCAGCATTTTGAATGTCGCCATTGTAGCTTCGAAACAAACACACGAGTTCTTGAAAGAGAAGCTCTTGTGTTTCAGACTTGAAACTACCATATAGAGAGCTATTAAGACATCTTAAAACAGTCACACATGGCTGTATGATGGATTGATCTTCAGAGTATTAATGATTAACCTGAAGAGCCTTCAAAATATATGATTCAACAGTGGGCCCACCAGTTGCTGAGGTAAGCTTTGTACATCACTAAGAAGAGGGAGAAAAAATTAATTCAATGAAATACTGAAATATTGTTATTACATAATTATATAGATTACAACAAGACTCTTATTTGTAGCATATAAGTTTTCACCATATGAGGGATCTTTTTGACTTTGACTGAGTCTCCTCAGTGATGCACCATGAATTTGGAAATGTGCTCAACTGCAAAGATTAAAATATACTTTTTTTTTAAATTCATAAAAGAAATATTAAAAAAAATTTAGGGTTGTGGATGCTTACATTGATGAGAAGTTTTGCTCCATACCATGCAGAATCAGCACCATAAGGGGAAGTGATAACACAAATTCCATTGGATATGGAGGGAGGTAGAAGATCATATACTTCCTTTTCTAATCTTTCTACAATTAATTAAAACATGAAGCATTTATAAATTAATATTATATTAAAAATTAAAGACATTTATATTTATAAATTAATTTATACCTGGTAACCCTGGTAAACATGCAGTGCCTCCAGCCAACACAACTGTCCTGAACCAAGTATGCTCGGCTCTCATTGTGGCAGCATGGCAACGCTCAATGCAATCTGCCACTGCCTGATGTAGACCCATTGTATTTCTGAGACCAAAAAAGGTAAAATTGGAAATTATATAAAAATAATTCAAGGGCATAAGTTTATAGATATTAAAGTGCATAAAAGATTACATTAATCCTGCAATATGTGGCTAGAAGAGAATCTCTCCTGTTTGGAAACGTTCTTTCTCGAGAGTAAAGAATCCCTCAGAAGCAACTTTGTATGATGCTTTTGTATTATCCTTCTTTAATTCACTCTCATAGTCAAAAGCAACATAGCAAAGATTCTACAACAAGAAAACATTATTAAGAAAAAAAATTATGAAAATAAATATATTTTATAAGGACTAAGGAGTACCTCTTTCAATGAGTGAACAGTGTATAATGAAGAAACATGTAGATTTCTTAGACGAAGTTGCTCTTTAAGGTATTCAGTAAGCTTTAAGCCTCCAACACCCATAGATACAACACCCACTTTATGCATTACTTTACCATGTAAAACTGGAAATGACACAAATGGAATCAGCAATTCCATTCCTTTGTTGATTCCGACATTGTAAACACTAACTTAATGCTTGTAACATGATTCTTGTGTATTAGTGATTATGGTAAGAGGATGAAAGACTAACATACTTGGGACAACATATGGTTGATGGAAACCAATATTTATAAGAATTCCATATGTTCTTCTTGCTAAAAACAAAGCTAAAGTTGCCTGCATATCAACGTCATTGAGTAAATGACCATCTTACCCTTGTTTAGGGGACTAACAAATAATAAGTACCTGACTGACTGCACACACAGAAGGAACCTTCATTCCAAACACTGAAAGCCACAAACAACAATCTCATCTCCTTCATGAAATTAGGCAAGAAGGAGTGATAACGAAGTCGCAAGAAAAAAAAAGAGACACTGGTGTCTGAAATTAGGGTTCAAGCGTAAATTTCTCAGAAGAAAAACATCACGAACATGAGAAAAACGAATAATAAGTACCTGACTGACTGCACACACAGAAGGAACCTTCATTCCAAACACTGAAAGCCACAAACAACAATCTCATCTCCTTCATGAAATTAGACAAGAAGGAGTGAGAACGAAGTCGCAAGAAAAAAAAGAGACACTGGTGTCTGAAATTAGGGTTCAAGCGTAAATTACTCAGAAGAAAAACATCACGAACATGAGAAAAACGAATAATAAGTACCTGACTGACTGCACACACAGAAGGAACCTTCATTCCAAACACTGAAAGCCACAAACAACAATCTCATCTCCTTCATGAAATTAGGCAAGAAGGAGTGAGACCGAAGTCGCAAGAAAAAAAAGAGACACTGGTGTCTGAAATTAGGGTTCAAGCGTAAATTTCTCAGAAGAAAAACATCACGAACATGAGAAAAACGATCAAATTGAACTCTTTCTGGGATTAGCTTGAGGATAGTGATTAGTGAATCAAACAACCATAAATTTCTTGACTTAGATGAAGACGGTGATTATCAATATTTTTTTTTTCAAAAATCAATTGCAAGAAAAACAAAGAAGGAGAGAGAGAGAGAGAGAGAGAGAGAGAGAGAGAGTACAATTATCAGACGAAATCTTAGACCTGTAACCTTAAACTTGATGTACATTGATTGTTCCATAGTCTTCTCCATCTTCGTTAATTGTTAGGGCTCACATAAATGGAACGATGATGGTGGATGTAGTCTTGGTCGAGAGGGCCTGAACATCATCGTCGTGTGAGGCGTGAAAAGTCGGTGTGGGTGAGGGGCGGAGACGAAGGAGAGGAGATGTTAGAGAACATATCGATACGAATGTAGGAGAAGAAAGTCAGGTTTAAAATTTTTGGGGATTTCATTTTCCCTCTAAGAAGAGAGACCCGCGTTTCTTAAAAAAAGTATATAAAATGACATTCACAGAGGACACACATTTTAGATAAAGTGCCCTCCGTGTTTTTATTTTTTTTACATGAGACACTAATTTAAGGGCGCGCAATAATGCGTGTCCTCTATCCTTAAATTTTTTGAAGAGATGACACTTTTTTAATGTCACTCTCTTTTGCGTAACATAAATCAACGAGTGTCGTGGTTTGCGCGTCGTAAAAGGGTCTTTTTCTTGTAGTGCATACATGAAACTTAAACAACCACAAGAATGCTCACCTCAAATCCAAGTTATGGGAAGAAATGAATTGAGGAGTAAAATCTTCAAGAGGCCACTAAGCACCCTAAAAGGTTTCACAAAACTCTGATTAGAAACATGCAATCAAAATAGAAAACAAAGTCTAAGTTTCATATTTTGAAGTTTCACAGCCCGACCCTTGTTCAGTGTTTTGAGTGTAAAATAGAACCTACAACTCCAAACGGGATGTTATTGGACTTTGTGTAAACTAGAATCGATTTCCTAAAGTTTCCTCTTCATGAGGCATTGTCTAATTCAAACCAGAGTGAGTTCCACAGCGGTCGCAAAAAAAATCAACAATTTTATCCATATTTCTAACTTCTGAAAAACGTCACCAAATACTTCAAGCATTAAGACAAGGACTTGAAAATAGGGATGGAGGTTAAGAAAATAATTTATACCTCTGTAAATATGATGAATTTCTAAGAGAAAGAATGAGGAAGGAGGACTTGATCTCTACTAGAAGAATCCCCACTCAAAAAACACCAAAAACACTACACCACCTTCTTGGATCTTCACAAAAACTTCAAGAATGGAAACTCCAGTTATGAAGTCACTTAAAATGAACTTGGAGGATAAAAATAAGGGTTTGGTTGTTTCAAAATGAAGTGATTCCCGGATTTTAGGGTTTAGCCTCCTTAAATACTTGATAACTTTCATTCTAGGGCCATAAAGTGTGAGAAAATGACCACATGACCCATATATATATATTATATATATATATATATATATATATCTATATATATATATATATATAGATATATATTATTATATATATATATTATATATATATATTATGATCAATTATCATTTCTTTGCACATTTGGCCCTAAAAGTATACTTTAACCAACGTGTTTGAATCATTAGAAATTGTAACATCCCGACTTCCAGGTATGAGATTTATTCCTTAAAAGACAAATTCCCCTTGGAACTCGTCGAGTTGATGGCCTCAACACAACATGTTGAAGGCTTTTGGGCTGCACATATTTTTGGACCAACTCGACGAGTTGATGAGGAAAAACTCGACGAGTTGGTGGCTGATTAAGAAACCCTAATTTTTAGGGTGTTTCACCCAATTTAAAGGCCTTATACCCTTTGGGTGACCTCCTTATCAGTCTCCTCTATCCAGAAAACCCTAGTTCGCACATCCTCTCCCATATTTATGTGTGTGTGAGCTTGAAGAGTGATTTCTTGGTGTTCTTTTGAAGGAGCTTAAGGTTGGAAGTGTCTGGATTGAAGGGAACATTTCAGATACAGAAACTCTTGGAGTATTGCAGTTATTTTGAGGTAAAAAGTCGACAACTTGCTTATCTATTTCTTATATCTCTTCCTTGGAATTTAATTGTCATATTAGGCTCATTTTGGGATTGTTCACGGTGTTGAGCATTTCATGAAGTTATCACTTCATATTTGGACGTTTTGTGGCCTCTTTGGGCTTAAAGTTTCAAGGTTTATCAAGTTCTAGGCCCCCTTCATGGTTTAGGTCCCTTATTAAGCCTTCTTTGAGTTTTGGAGCCTCTTGGTGGCATGCATGGACGTAAAGTTAGCAACTTTACGTGGTTTTCCAGCTCTTGGGTATCAGATCTACATTTTAAAGCGTCAGACTTGATGAAAAAGGACTGCATGTGTTAAGCCGGGAAAACTCGGCGAGTTGTCCAACCAACTCGAAGACTTGGCTAGGGTTTTCCCGCTTCTCTGGATACTATAGGAACTCGACGAGTTGGTAGGTGCACTCGACGAGTTGGGTCAACATGGACTGTTGACCTTGACTGTTGACTTTGACTTTGACCATGGTTGACCAAGTTGATTGAGGAATTTTGGGTATTTTAGGTTTTTGATAGAAATGGTCAATGGTGGTTGTAGGCATTGAGTCTGGACCTTGCTTTTGAGTAGTTTAGAGTTGTATTTTAACCGGTTCAGCACTACTTTGTGAGGTGAGTGTTCCTCACCGTACTTGTTGGGTCGAAGGCACTAAGGCCGACCCTTTTGGATTATTATCTTGATTATTGCATGATTGAGTATTGTAGTGATCTGTTAGCTCTGTGTCTTGACAATAGGATGATGCTATACTTAGTGATCTGTAAGATCTGTCTGTTTGTCTGATTGACTGGTTATATGTTTAATTGTTATGTATATGTCGACCTGTTATGTGTGATTGGGTTGAGGCGGACCTGCTTTGTGCTGAAGGCCAACAAGCCCAGGGCCTTCCGGATAGACTGAAGGCCAGTGGGGCGTAGCAGTCAGGCCGAAGGCCCGGAGAACGTTCCAGATAGGCTGAAGGCCCGAGGTGGCGTACCAGTCATGTTATAGGTTCTTTGAGTGTACCAGATAGACTGTAGGCTGGTGGGGCGTTCTAGTCAGACTAAAGGCTCTGAATGCATGCTGTTTGTGATATTATTCTGGTTTTTGTATTGTGATTGGTATTTTGGGGGAACTCACTAAGCTTCGGGCTTACAGTTTTCGATTATGTTTCAGGTACCTCAGAGGATCGCGGGAAGGCGAAGGCATGATTGTGCACCTCCTCATATTTTATTTCATGATTTATGGGATTTCTCTGATGTCGAACTTATTTTGAAAACAATATGTACACAATGATGGTTTTTGGATTTATGTAAAAGTTTTAAAATTTTCAAAATTTTATGGATGTTATAAGTTGGTATCAGAGCCTTGGTTTGAGTGAATTGGAGGAACACTCGTGTGTATCCAATCTCAAACTAAGGAGAAGATTTTCAAACAGTTTTCAAAATACTAAAGGAGGATGGGATGTGTATGATCAGCCGGAGCCAGTATGTAGACCCCAAAATACCATACTATTATTTAATGTTGTGATATGTTTGAACAACATGCTAGTGATAGGCTAGGGATCCTCAGGAATTACATGATAGAATTGCATGATTATATGATGCTTGATAGCCTAGGGCCTTTTTGTTGGGTTTTGAGCATTCTAACACTCCTATGGTGTACATGCAACCCTATAAACCTTGGATCTATGTTTTCTCTATTATACATACAAATATTAACTATTCTAAGGTTTCATCCTAACTAGCATATTATGAAGCACCTATACTACAAAGTTCTAGTTAGATGACATACCTTTTGATGTAGCTTGATGTCTTCAAGCTTTAAGAGCTTAGCCCCAATAGTGTGGAAGCCTCAATGGAATCACAAATCACCAAAACACCTTGGAAGAACTTGAGAGAATATGTATGCACACTAAAATCGGCCCACTCTTATTTTCACACACTTGTTCAATTTTGTGAGCCAAGGACCCCTTTATATATTATGGAGGATTGGGTTACATCCATGTAAACCCTATACCCATGACCTTTCATTTACATAGGATCCATGGGTTAAAAGCTCCATGGA